ATTATCATGACACAGTAAATAATAATATTAATACAATAATAATAAAACTACATATGGTACTGTATTGAAGAGAGAGAGAGAAAGAAAGAAAGAATGTGTATGTAGGTTTACAGTACTGTAAAAAATATCAAAGAACAGTTCTTAAACAATTCAAAATAGAAAAAAAGGCAAAAATGTAATGTTTAAAAGTTAACACTCAAATTTTTAATATAGCAGTCTATCCAGAAGTCTATTTGTAAATTGTTTTTAAGTCAGATGTTCTTAATCTAGGGATTTATTGTACACCTGAAGAAATCAAGGGAATGCAAACAAAGATGAGGACAGTAGTCTAGATAATTTGAGGAATAATGACATTACTTCATTTCAGGACTTTGGGTAACATTAAACTCTTTATCTGACAAGTTGAAGCAAAACTGCCGATATTCAATAAACAAAAAAAAAAAGTCAAATTGTTGAACTAAATTTTCATTCATTATTTTTATTATTCATTGACTAATTCTTTCTTTTCTTTTAATGTGCCATGTCCTTTCAGGACGTAGGCGATCATAGTTCTCCGCCTTCCTCTATCCCTTGCAGCCCTCAACAAATTCCTTCCTTCTGCTACCTCCCCCAGACCACGTTCTGTCATCCACTTGCTTAAGCCTGCTAGGTATGTCATGCATTGTTTTCCCTTGTCTCTCTTTCCCTCTATTCGACCCATGAGTATCAGATTCTCCAGGCCATCCTTTCTTATTATGTGTCCCAGAAACTTCAGCTGCTTCTTCCTGATGTTAAGTATAAGCCTCCTCCTTGTAGAAAATTAATATCTTATGCTCCTGCAATGAATACAAATTCTACTAGATAACTTTAAAAATGTTTTTTAATTATTTTGCCCCAAGCAAGGCAATAATGTCACTAAGATGCAAAGGGGCTACAGGGAGTGAAAGTGAATGAGAATAATTTAAGAAAAGGAACTGGAAAACCAATCTTAAACAGGAAACCAGGGGTAAACTTCTACTCCTATTCAAAATGGTCTGGGGTACCTTCTGTTTACCTCGGAGTTCTTGACAAGATCCAGAGATGGATATGTAATATAATTGGCCCTGATCTGATCTACAGTCACTCTCTCACAGATGCACTATCGCCTCTTTCTGTCTTTTTTTCTACAAATACTTTCATGGTAATTGTTCCGACGAGCTGCTTTCACTGGTTCCCAGACTCCATGAATTCAAGTGCCCTACGAGGCTGACATCCCGCCCCACCCTTTACACTGTAGAAACTTTTAAATGTAGCCGTCTCTTCTACTCCAATAGCTTCATACCGCACATCTCGTCTGTGGAACACCTTCCCAATTACTGTTTCCCTGAGAGCTATAATCTCCAACTATTCAAATGTAATGTCAATCGACACCTCCAGTTACCTTGATCTACCCACTATCCTTCTCCTCGTCCTTTCTTCTATCTCTCATATCTACTCTTGCTCCAAATCTTCTGCAACCCCCTGCATCCTAGTGGCTTGTAAGAATCTGATCCACTTCAAAATCAAACCAAATATAAGATTGGCCGGGGGTGGAGAGTTTCTTGGTTAGGTCATGAACCATGTATTGAAAGATGATTACTTTCATTTGGCCATGAAAAATATACTGTCAGGGATTACCACACCCTGTTTGCCAGGATACCTGCTAGGTGGCAATGTTAACTGAAAAGAAAAAGATATTTTCCCTCAACTCCACTGAGATGCCAATAAAGGAAGATAAATCAGACAAGACATAAATTCAAACTTAATTTCCATAATAAAGGCATTACTTTGAAAGTAGATTATAAAATAATCAGACTGATTTTAGAAAGATGAATGTGTTTGGCAACAGTAGAGTTAACCAAGCAGTTCAGAAGAGACTTGTCTGTCACATGAAGAGTTAAATAATAATTTTCTCTATCTTTACAATGCATAGTATTTTATTTTTAAGTCTTTATAAGAATGCTATTTCTTACAATATAATACAAATAAAAACAGATATTTCCTAAATTTAAATTGGGAAAATTAGACAATATGAGAAAAACATACACAACTTTGGTTGAAATCACTTGACATGTTTGAAAAGAGGTACAAGGAGAAGCATTGAAAAGTTCTCAAGTCAAGAAACCCTTTAAAAAAATGTTGGGCCAAGAACATTTCAGCACTCTAGTGTACATTTTTATATCAATCAGAAATTTGTCAAAATGTGCTGTTAACACACACATGTACATTAGTGAATTTATTAATTCAAACCTGGGTTAAAATAGAAATTAACATTAACTTAAAGTATACTATACACAAATTATGTTTTATTGTTGGTCAATTTTATTCTGCCAATTTGCTAACTATAAAATAAACAATTATTAAGCAAGAGAGAGAACATTGACTTACTTAAGTCTTTGATATGAATATTTTGCAGAGAAAAATTTTTTTATCAAGACCTTTTAGAAATTACTCAAAGTATGTTTTATTTCAAATATAGCAAAATTTTTAATCCTGATTTCAAGAACTTCAAATTTTTAAGTGAAAAAACAAAGAATTATACAATTTTACATAGACTGGCAAAGTATGTTGTCCAGTAAAATGGTGACTATTATTAAATTGTGAAGCCTTTTGAAAAGTTGATAAAAAAGTAAGCATTTAAAATTACAAATAAAAATCAGTGATATAATTTTGTTGTGTGATACAGTTTTTGTTAACAGAGTACACATTGGATCTAGTCATCAGCTGAAACATATACATTGTTTTGAGACCTTTTTCAGAATGCTTGCTGCTCTATTCAATGGTTCAATTTGATGGAAGAATTTGTGCGACATAGAGACAGTGAAAGTTAAAAAAAAAAGGATAAAGAAAGAATAGACAAATGTAGGAAAGCCAGTGAAATAGGAATCTTAAAAAACAGACAGGCAATCATGATTCCAGATAATCTTTTCAGTATCTGTGTTTTATCATGCATTCTTGGATAAAATAGTGAAGTGTTTTCCCATTGGAATTCAGTTTTCCTTTTCTTAGATTGCTTACCACTCAAGGCTAGAGATCTCAGTTTACCCTGCTATTTAACCCATAGCAGTAGAGGAGAAGAGAGAAATTCATGTCTTTTCAAAGGGCATTTGTATGAAAGGGAATGCCACAGACTAGACCAGAATTTGAACTCAACTAATTCCACTTTCCACATTGATATGTACTACACCACCTGCACACCCAGAAACAGAATACATGAAATATCATGGTAAATGGAGAAGTCTACAGCAAAGGTAAATACTGGAAAAGGTTTATGAACACGCACATTTTATATATATATACTTTTGATAAAAACTTAAGCATGCTAGGAAAAGTGATCACATCTGGTATTTGTATACACAGCAGAAACAAATTTAATATATCTATTTTCATCAATAATATGTAAGTCTTGACTTCATTATGAAAATTGAATTAGGTGCTTTTGTTCTTTCATGATCTTCTACTAGAGTAATTTTATTCAAGGCAAATATTTAAACTAAGCTTATATAAAAAGCTATCTGTTGTCTTATATAAAATTAACCCTTTGTATTAATGAAATATATTAATTTGTGCACAATTGATTGAAACTGTTATTTTTGTTTTTAATTCAGATAATGTTAACAATGGTCAATGTAAATTGATGACATATTTATATTTTATCAATTTAAAAAAACTGTATAAGTATGTGAGATAAGAATTAACCTTTTCCTTTATCAAACCAATTGTAGATTTTTATGAATCATTTGATAGTGATAAATGAATAGAGAACTTGTGAAGGAGAGTTTAATTAGTGATGACAGTTTATATTCGGATGATAAATCAATTACTGAAAAGAGAGTTTTAAGAAAAATATACATAATATAGTTTATGAAACTTTTTTGTGGTATTTATTTTTGGTGTAGCATCTAATTTTATTTTGTATATATAAAAAGCAACATAGAAATATACTTAATGTCTTTTTCAAATTTCTGTCATGTGTGAAATATAAGGGACAGTAATTATTAAATGAAAATTTTAAACATAGTAGCTTATATTAAGATATGTTGCATAAAAATTACTTTACAGCAACAATATAGATTTCTTTTCAAATAAGTTTTGAAATTAATGGATAAAGCATGGGATTACAAGATGAGTTGCTTGAAAGGAGAGGTAACATTTTCTTTCTCTGATTTTAATCTAAGGATTAAGGTATATATTATTTTTGTTCAATTTGATATATATTTAATATATTTATAGTATTATAGTATTTATAGTGAATAAGAATGGTAGTTGGAGTTAGCCAAACTTAGAATTGTTACTAGATCAGCTAATAAAATATTCAACTTAGAATAATAAATTACTGAATTTATTCTCACTACTTGAAAAAGAAATGCACTATAAACAAAAAGAAAAAGTAACAAACAATAAAAAGTCATGTATTACTATTTATTATACATATACAGTGTTCCCAAAATACTGTCATTTAACTTTAAAATCATCTTTGGGGCACTGTAATTATAAGAATACAAACTAAATGAGAAATAAATAATTCTGATGCAATCTCGTCCTTATTTTAAAATTGAGTACCCAAGCTAAATAAAGGCTAGGAACAGTTTTTTTGAGCCCCTGATTGTAAGTTACTGACTATATTTCACTGGTGATTGAAAGTTTTTTTTTTTATCCTAAAACATTGTTGAAATAACAATTGAACTCTGCTAAAAATAAATGAATGAAAATAATAGTATTTTGTAAAATAAAAAATAGGAAGAATGTTGAAAGTAATTCTCTAAATATATTTTTGTCAAAAAAAAAAATGTATATTTATTATTATATAGTAAAGCAAAAACAAAAATAGATATTTAAACTTTTTCCTACTAAAACATTGTTAAATAAATTTTGAAGATAGATTTTTTTTTAGTCAGATCTGAGATAAATGATGTATGTTAAAGGCATAAAGGGATTGTAATTTCCTCTCATGAATAATGGACTTGAAAATATTTCATGATGTTTGATCAATTGTCAAATAATCATTGCAATGAGAAAGTGCTTCTTCTCATCTGATCGGATAACATGTTGGAATTAGGCTCTGGTTCTTCCACAGATACGTCTACTTTCGTCCACTGTTTGGTCTTATTTGACTTTCGGATGGCATCAACTACAGTTTGTACATAAAGTGCATCCTCAAAATTCGACGCTGAAGCAACGGGTTCCGCCTGCCAATTCTGCCTTTCCTCTTCTTTCTCAAAAGCATCTTTCACGGCCTCAATCATGTGAATAAGACCTTTGAGATAAGGGCTCGGAATTTCGGTTCTTGCTTTCGGAGATATTCCATACCTCTCCTCTTCTTTGATGGGATCGAAATGTATCAACGACTCTCGGGTAGCGTTCAATCTCTGTTCGTATAAGTCCGAACCCCGTGCAATTAGCCGTCCTTTTTGTCCACAAATGACGATTTCTTGGACAAACTGCCCGGGGATATGGCTATTCAGGGTTACCGTAACACATGCACCTTTGTCGAGCTCCATTTGAAAAGTGCAAAAGTCGTCGCTGGTGATTTCTCGAATACCCTTAATGTTTTGTGTTTGTTTAGTATAAGTCTTTAACATTCCATGAACACGTACTGCTCTTTCTTTGGTTAGGAAGGTGATTACATCGATGATATTACTGCCGATTGTATTAAGAACACCACCGCCCATACCTTCATCACACATCCAATCATACTTTTCTTTTGGCAAGCCTCCGTAGTGAACCTTAACTTCGCAGATTGTGATGTTGCCTAGATATCCCTCCTCAATCATTTTTTTCATCTTGACAATAGTTGGAAGGAAACGGAGTCCATAACACATTAACGACATCAACCGAGGGTAGTACCTGGCTGCCTGCACCATGTGTTGAGCATTTAATTGCATTGGGCCGGACGGGGCACTACATAAAACATGCTTGCCGATGCCCAAAGCCTTCACGGCGATAAACCATTGGCTGTGAGGTGGGCAACCAATGACCACAAGGTCGACATCTTTGCGTAACAGAACATCGTCAACTTTGCGCGTACTGAATGGGATGTCCAATTGTGTGGCTAGTTCCTGGGCATCTAAATTTTCACTGCCCCACAAGGCGACAACGGGAAATCCGCACACTTTTAAGATGGGTACAAAGGACTGTATCGTCGCAGTTGTCCCAAACACTCCAACCCCGGGTAACATCGTGTTTGATGGCTCACCGATCGGATACTAGCCTTTTGTTCTTGTTCGACACGGAGCACGTAAACAGTAAACACTGAGTCAAAGCGCCATGTTGTATCTTGCATTTAAACGAGCCGGTGATATAGAAAAAAAAGCAATATTAAAATATTCATCCAAGGAAACACTTGTCATTAGAAAAATAAAATAAAAGCCAAATGTTTATTATTTTATTTTATTTTTAATACTGGGACATTATGACACGAGTTAAAAATAGTTTCAACATGTTGAAATAGGAAAATGTAAAAAAAAGTTAAAACTTTAAATAAAAGCAATTTAAATTTGTGCTTGAAAAAATACTAGCTCAAAAAAAATTCGTTCAAATTGTTGTTCAACTTCTAGTTGTCAGAGGAATTTTGAAATTTTAGTTTTTACTAAAAATAACCACGTTAAAAAATTATTTAAACATCTTCGTTAAACGTTAACGCAAACTTATTGGCTTATTTTCGACAACTAACAAAGCAACACTTTTGTCAAGAATTGATCTTGAATATAAACAAGTAGTAGTGTAACCGTTAACGTCTTGCTTTGAAAATTAAAATATCACTATTCTGTTCAGTTAGAGTCTAAATGTTAGACTAAGTAAGAGTAACGACAACGTTGGTGATGAAAAAGCCATATCCTTTTGGGGTCAGTTAAACTGACGCCTTTTTTTTTCTATAAACGATAATTTTGATAAATGGACATTTCACTGAAATGTGTACGTAAAATCCAGAAAATACGAACTTTAAGCAAAATATTCACAATATGAGAAAAAAAATGTCTTGATGACAAGGCCGGTAGCAAATCAACATTATTGAAAACCACTACTAATTAATAAAAAAAATCATTAAGAAGTGTGTAAGTTTTATTTTACAAAGACAAATTAGAGAAAATCCACCCTTTCGCCATGACATATCCTAGAGACAAGTGTGCGAATAATTGTTTACTTTTCCTCATAGTCGTGACATTTCATTTCATTGAAGTTTATTTTACCGACACATAATGTCCTATTTGAGTGGCGTATGTGATTGAGTAGTAGACTGGTAGGCACCTGTCCATATTTTTAACGTAAGCATTATCGTACCTACGCTATGATATCACATTGTTCATACGGAAAAAAATAAAAACAGACAAGGACGGACATATTGTGTATTTAGGCAGCAATCCCTCATTTATACAAGTTTCATTAAAAATGACAGACAAAGTACTGCGATTAAGCTTTTTTTTTAACTTTTCTTGTGTTCGAACAAGTTTTCTTATCTGGATACAGAATGTGTAGAAACTGTCCAAATGTTCTGTTGGAATTCCGAGCGCTTTCGGCTATACATTTTTTTTTAGCCATTATCAAGGACAATTTTATTTTTACTTTTTACTGGTTGTATGGGTTATGTGTATGTTTCTAGATTTATTACTGTTAGTGTTAGAGATGTTTTATTTTCCAGACACAGTCAGCACATTGTGGCCATGTTCGTTAGTTTGAGTGTTGGATTTTTCTTTTTTTATTATTAAGGCTTCCATTATTTTTAATCTCTTTTACATATGGATGTGGTTATTATGCTTGTATTTTCCACTAGTATGTTTTGGATGACGTCTGGTAAGTTTGTGTGTGTGTTTAAATGAATTCCAATAGAACTGTGGTCAGATAGGTGTAACGGACCTGGTACTTCTGACGGTGATAGAATTGATAGATAGAATTGGCTTAGGGACAATGAGAATTCCACTAAAATAAAAGTAGACAGTATAAGGTTGAATCTTAACGTTAAGACTACAACTGCTAATTAAACAGGTGGACTTCCTTGATATAACATATTCCAACCAACACACACACTCTCTCTCTCATATATATATATATATATATATATATATATATATATATATATATATAATGTATATAGGCCACATCTAAGCTATGCTTGGAAAATTACTAGAGAGAGAGAGAGAATATATAGTATAGCATATATATATATAAAATAATGAAATATATATATTTTGAAATATATATATATATTCATAATCTATATATATAGAATATATATATGAAATATATATATATTTGAAATATATATATTCATAATATATAATATATATATATACAATATATATATATATATATATATATATATATATACAATATGTATATATATGTATAAATGGTATTTAGTGGAAAGTGCTCAATATCGGTGATAGAGCTAATATATATGGTTGCATTGATAGTAGTCTGTAACCCCCAGGTTTCATGCTTTCATGATCTTCAAGATTTTTATATATATATATATATATATATATATATATAGTTGGCCACTCGTATTTGGGGATACATGTCTATTAATGTAGCTAGCCAATCCCTATTTCTGATGCTTGCTCCGGCACATTTGTGTTTGTTCAGCACCCACAGAGCCTAAGTGTGGTTTATACTGAAACTATGCTGAGCAGACCTTAGTTACAGTTTCTGGGTAAGAGCGTATTATCTAGCATGATCAACAATCTGATCAATGCCAGTATGCTCAAACCCTTATTCATGATTACTTGTGTCTTCATGCTAGCAATCGACAACACAATGGTACTGTCTACCCAATTTCACTCACAAGACTTGCATCAACCCGTGGAATGGTTTTCAAACACTTTCCAAAGGTGCTTCATGCTGAGATTGACTGTCCAGGTCGGTAACATCAGGTGAGATTTGAACCCGGGCCTCATGGTTAGAAAGTGAACATTCTAACCACTCAGCCATGTGCCCATTATATATATATAGACAGACTGTTTTGCTGTATCACAGTTCTTTAGTGTGGCTAGACATCCAATTGCTTCAAGCCAGGATCGAAACTTGACCGATCTGGCATCAGTCAGAGATCGAGATTCTATCCCTAGGCTATAGCCGCACGGCAGAGAGGAAGGGAAATACACAGAATATATATATATATATATATATATATATTTCCCTTTCTGTAGGTTGAGCACTTTGGAAGAAAAATGTGGTAATATCTAATAAAAACAGTAAACTAGTTGAGTTTCTTTTTTCCAGGTTTTCAGATAAGACTTTTAGCTATCTTGACAACATTTGTCATAAGAATCATTGAAAAACCCTTTCAGTTTTTCAGCTAAAAAGAAAGCAAGTTAAAATTGTTTTGTATCAAACCCACTGTCTTCCTAACTGAGCAATAGTGAGATGAAAAAGATCATTCAGGCTTTCAGTAGTGGTATCAACATTCATACTCTGACTTCCATCTTCAAAGTCCATTCAAGAACCATCAAAAGAATGGTGAATCAGTTTAAAAAAGAGGGAACAGTAGAGAGGAAAACTGGATCAGGAGGTCACAACAGGAAGAGTGATCATCATTTCAATTTAGTGCTAAAGGGATCAATTAGAAAAGATCCAACTTAATCCATAAGATGTTTGGTATATGAGAGAAGAGTTTCACCTATGACTGTCCAAAGAGCAGTAAAAAAAGACTTGAAAATGAAATTGTACATGAAACATGTGAGACACCTTGTTACTCCAGGACAGAAAGTTAGAAGTTTAGAGAGTTGGAAAATGTTCCTGGAATAATATACAATAATAATATATTTGAACTTTATTTCAATCCTTCATGAGCTTGCGATTTTTAGCTATGATTAATTAATAATGGACATGTCATTTTCATTTATGATCAATTTCATCATGATTCTTCTATTAAGCTTAGAGAGTAATTATACATTCTTATAGCTCAATGTAGAGTCCAGTCGTGTTATAAAAACTTTGGATAATTCTGGTAAGATATCTTTAATCATGTTTAAGATACAAAGCTTAATCTAACAATTAAACAATTTTGCTGTTACACCTGGTATATATATATATATATATATATATATGTATATATATATAATTATTTATTTAAAAATTATAACATAAATATATTATAAAATTATAACATAAATATGTTATAAAATCTTATATTTTATTTGCTCTACTCTGTATTGAGCACTCTTTTAAGAATAGTAATAGTTGGTTATTGGAATTTATTCCGTATACACCAATCATATACTTGGGTATATATATATATATATATATATATATATATATATATATATATATATATATATATGTGTGTGTGTGTTTTTAAAAGAAAACACTTTATTTACAAAACTTGAATGCACAGTAGTTTCTTTAGGGAGCTAAACAGGTGCACATTAGCAGATATGAGAAAGAAAAGTAAATTATGGTCTTACTTGATAGTTGACTTGTCCATGTATTGCATCAGTCATGGAAGACGAGTGAAATTGAGGTACAGAATAAATGAAGAGTCGTTCTGATGAATTGGCAATAACTGACAAATTGAGTTACATTTCGCGGTATTTCTTAATGTTTTTTTTGGCATCTGCATAAATCATAGCCGAGTCAAGGGCAGATAATTAAATTTTGTAACGCTACAGGTTAATGGTTAGCGAGCTTGAGTGATTTACATTTTACTACTTAGTAGGGAGTTCGATCCTCACTGAGTATCCTATACTTAAGTCAAACTAACTAAACTTAATAAATAGCACGTAATTTTCACTTACATTCTTAGATCACAGTCCTAACATTTGGCGTGAGTAAATGGTATTTTCTTTTTAATTAAAAAACTGGTTTTATTTTAATTTCATTGTTTATGTTTCAAGTTTTTAACTTTTACGAGTTTACAAACTTTTTTACTGCGTCCATTTTTCGATGTTAAAAATATATGGAATAGATACCTTAAAAAATTACATTCTACCAATATAGAGACTAAACCCGATTTTTAAAACCTGGTACTGCTAAAAGAATAATACCCCCGAATTAGATGTAAAATGTAAATTCTCATCTCTATTTTTACATGTGAAGAATGTTTTTCATTATTACGATTAAATGATTTTTTTTACAAGAAGTAATTATTGGAGGTATTTAAAAGCAAACATTTACTTACAACACTTGAAATCGGATATAAAAACGATATTTCATCGATTTACCTACAAGACAATATTTATTT